TTTTACCGACCTCAAAAAAAGTTATCGTGCAATTAATTGATTTATTGACTATCGCGACAGGCCTAACTGAACAAACGTCTACGTCTTTTTAAAAACATCTCTGTGGGTAACAATACATAAAAACAAGTTTTTTTTCTCTGGCAACTTGGGTGTAAAAACTAGAGTTGTTAAAGCTTCGCTCTGCAAGACGTGCAGCAGGAGGGAGGAGGAGGAAATGATCCTGATGTAACTTTTCTACAGCGGGAGGGGGATATTTTGAGGATTTATCCTCTTTACGTGTTTTAAAATGCCATATTTTATTCATTTTATTTCGAACTCCTCCTGCTCAGTTGTCTCTGCACTCGCAGCCCTGTTCTAACAGGTGCGATGATGTAATGATGAAAGGATTGTAGAGGATAAATTTCTACCGTAGACCAACTTCATACTGTTTCTACCGTCTACAGCACATACCGCATGTTTTCACCGATCAAGTTGGAGTCAAACTGTATCTGGTTTGCATCATCTTTGCAGGAAAACACTTTACAAATGCAACACAGTTCATCTGAATTATTTCTCAAATGGAGTAAAACATAAGGGATGAATTTAAAGCTGTGTTCAATAAAACAAAGTTCTGTCACTTAAAAACGTAAATCCCATAAAGTTGAGCTGAAGAATCTGCAGATGCAGCTTGCATCTGGGGTTTTGGTCAGGATGAGACATGCAGTCAGTTTTGTCTGAACAGGAAAAATTAGTCTCAAATACCTGGTTCTGAAAAGTATTTTCTTCTTCTATAGATTCTGTTGAGTTTCTTTTATCTGCTTTGCTTCCAGTCCCAGTGGTTCTGTTCAAGAGTTTGGAGAGCATTTCTAAAACCAATTAGGAAACAGAGCTACAAACTTAGGTTTGATGGAGACAATTTAATGACTTAGTTCTGGCTGATATAGTTTATGTTTAGATGAACTTACCAGTGAAAGGAAACATTCTCGTTTGCACTTTCTGATGGAAAGTTACTAAGGAGTATCTTAACTTAAAAGAAACCAAAAGTGTAAACTTTAAAATCTAACTTTGTGTTCCTCCATCCACTAAAATATTCAAAAGCTAGCAATACTTAGTATCACAACTAATCAACATTTGCAACAAGCATGCTGGAAGTGTAACATAATTTAACACCAGAAAAACACAAAGTTTAAAACAAAGATTAAAGAGTTGTTTTCAGTTTCAAATGCTGGAGTGAAAGAAGAGGTTAGTGAGACAATTGATTAAAACAATACTGAAATGACATGATGTGCACAGAACAAAGACTGAAACTACAACAGTTGTGCTTTTATGAGTTCTKTGGTCATTCAGAGTTTCACAGCCTTGGCCACACTGACAACTTAATGCAGCCAAGACCACTTGTCAGATAAGAGTTTGTTTTAGGCTCCAGGCTCCTCGTTCATGGAGATGAGGTCAGAGGTCTGTGACTGGCTGGAATTTACAACGGTGTCTGCAATCTTTTCGAGGAGAAAGAAGAGTTTTCATGTGAGATTGTAACACGTGCACCCTGTGATGAATGATATTTATTCACATTCATGACATCAGAAACATAGATCCACTCGATCTGTGTTTCTACAAGTATATATAGGTGCAGGGGTGCTGATTTTGCACAACCACAGTAAGAGAGAGCATAAATACCCACTAGGTTGTTTTGCAACTGTATCTCAAACTGAGATATATGCAATCCAGCAGTGTGTGGCATCTCTCAAAGACCTTCAGTTTACACAGAAGGAAATATTCATCCTAACAGATAGCCRAGCTGCTATTAGAGCTCTCTGAGGGCCACACTTTACGTCATTACCGGCTTGGGAGTGTGCCGAAGCTGTCAACCAAGTGGGGAGAGATAACAGTGTTACTGTTAAATGGGTACCAGGACATACTGACATTTATGGTAACGAGAGAGCTGACTACCTTGCAAAAGCTGGCAGTCAGGCTCACTTCAAAGGACCTGGGGTCGGATTTATAAAGGATTGCGTGGAAACCATACTAAAAGTGAATGTACGGCCAAAGGGCGGAAATGGCGTACGCCAAAAAAAATTCAGATTTATAAAACCGTGCGTACGCATGTTTCTGCGCATCTTTCATTTATAAATCACAGCCGCATGTCAGAGTTTGTGCACGAGGTCCTCCTCAGGTTCTACCCTCTACACGCCCACACTCAACCATAAACAGTCAATGTAAAGTACCTCATGAATGTTAAGATGTATTTAAATCAGTCAGCTGATCAGTGTCAACAAAAGTGATTGGTTCAGACACTTTTCGTCGTGCATCTGGAGGATGACAGGTGCTGACTGACAGCTGCTCACGTGAACAGAATGTCTGTAATTGACACAGATTTTCCCTC